CCCGAACGAGGTGGGGTTTGTTCTAATTTTTCGGACCAGGGTTTAGAGCTTTTAGGGTTTAGGGTTTTTAAAGCCCTAAACCCTAAATAAAACCTGAACCCTGAACCCTAAACCCTAAATTGAGTTTTTGGGGTTTAGGGTTTAGAAGTCCTAAACCCTAAGCCCCAAGTTGAGAGGCTTGAGGTGTTTAGGGTTGGTTCCACGAAGACCTGAGTACCCTCGTTTATTACAGGGGTCGGATTAGTTACTTTCCCTGATGGTCCCTACTTAAGCAAACTGGCATAGCCCCCAAAACCCTATTCTAATCATGAAGGCCCTTATATTCGAGTAGTAGAACCCCCAAAGCCCTGTTCTAATTAAGGCCCCGATTTTTTGAGGAATAGAGTACTTTCCAGGCGGCAGCGGCTTGCTGCAGCAGGTCGCACGGCTTGTCAAAGCGAGCTGAGCGGGTTTAGGGTTTAGGGTTTAGGGTTTAGGGTACGCGACCCTTCGCGTCCAGTTTTCATGCTGCTCACAGGCATGTTTCTTTGACTGTAGGCAGGAAGCAGAAGGGACAGAGCTCTCGCCTGCGGCGCGCCCCTGTGTAATGGTGGCGGCTGATTAATTGTACAGGCAGCCGCTGCCTTTGAGCGCCAGGACACTTGCAGTCATCACGACCTTGCGGTCACTGTACAGAACACGCCGCTACAACAAAGACCCTGCGGTTCGCTGCACAGAGCAGGCCGCTGACAAAGCAAAGACCCGTATTTTAGTTGTTTCTTCTTGCTATTGCTACTCTTTTCTTGCAAACGGCATGTCGTTTCATTTCTTTTCGCTTGTTCGTGCCAGTCTTTTTTAGGACTGGGGGGGGGGGGGGGGGGGCAGGGAATTGTAGGTTCCCTTGTAAATCCATTGAGGAACAAAAGGGGCTACCCTAAACCCGAAGCCCTAAACCCTAAATCCTCAACCCTAAACTCCGAACACTAAACGATAAATAAGCCTGGACGAGGGTGCACGCTTGACTCACTTTGGCTTCGGAGAAGCGTTTAGATTTCAGGACCGGGGTTTGGGCTCTCAAACCCCGAGCCCTAAGCCCAGGTAGCCCTAATTCCCTAGATCCTACCCCTAAACCCTAAACCTAAGCCCTAAGCCCTAAGCCCTAAGCCCTAAGCCCTAAGCCCTAAGCCCTAAGCCCTAAGCCCTAAGCCCTAAGCCCTAAGCCTTAAGCCCTAAGCCCTAAGCCCTAAGCCCTAAACCCTAAACCCTAAACCCTAAACCCTAAACCCTAAACCCTAAACCCTAACCCTAAACCCTAGCCCTTCATGAAAGCTCGAGCAGCAGCCTGATCCCCTAGAAGGGTTCGAGGTTTTGGTGCTTAGGGTGTGGGAATCGCAAGCGGCAGCCAAAACCCTAAGCCCTAAACCTTAAACCCCAAACCCTAAACCCTGAAGCCTGCACCCCAAGCCCCTAACTGTCCTGACAGTAGCCTGTTAAGTGCTCTAGCGTGGTCATAGTTGGGTGAGAGGTCCAGTCACGATCGGGCAGTATTCCCCTGAACCTTGAACTCGAGCCTAAACCCTAGCCTAAACCCTAAACCCTAAACCCTACACCCTAAACCCTAAACCCTAAACCCTAAACCCCCTCCATCGGCGCCTCAAGCTGATGGTCTGCACTGGGCGCTCTCACTGGCTCTGTTTCCCTGTTCTTTGCTCTGTGACGCACGCGGCCACACAGGGCACGGACGCTGGGCGGCACCGCCCTAAACCCTAAACCCTACCCGCAAAACCTCAAAGGCCTTTGAGTCTCCAAAGTCCACCAAAGCAAGACCTTAAGACCCCAAAACCCTGGGCCCAAAGCCCTTGACGGTCCAGGGGCGCTTCCCCACCCCACCCCTTGTAGGGGTCGGGGTTGCGGGCTTTGAGTTTAGGGTTTGGAGCTTGGGGTTTGGGGTTCAGGGTTTGGAGTTTGGGGTTTCGGGTTCTAGGGTTTGGAGTCTAGGGTGTCAGGACCTTGCATCCGAAATCCTTAGTCCTGGAACCCATTACACCAAACCTCACCCAAAAAAAACCTTGCTGCACCCTAACTGCCCCCCCCCCCCGCCCGCCACCCAAAAGGGGGGCTTCCGAAATTCGAAGTACCTTTTTGGGGTCCTTATTATAAGGGAATCCAACTATTTGGGGATCTATATTAGGGTCCCTTGTTTTTTGGGAGACCATTAAAGATGGCCCAGAGAGGGGTTTTGGTTTGGGGTTTAGGGTTTAGGGTTTAGGGGTTCAGGGTTTAGGGGTTTAGGGGTTCAGGGTTTAGGGGTTTAGGGGTTCAGGGTTTAGGGTTTAGGGTTTAGGGTTTAGGGTTTAGGGTTTAGGGTTTAGGGTGGCAGGATGAAGGCAGCTGCTGGTCCATCGGCTTCACCTTCGAGACGTGCTGCGCGTCCCATTTCGGCCCTGAGGGCAACACCGAGTGCTGGGACGACGTGCCCCTTGGCCTCGCGCGCTCGCGCGCGCGGGTTTAGGGTTTAGGGTTTAGGGTTTAGGGTTTAAGGTTTAGGGTTTAGGGGTTAGGGGTTAGGGGTTAGGGTTTAGGGTTTAGGGTTTGGGGTTTAGGGTGGAAACCTCCTGAGCCCTGAGCCGGACTAGACCCTAAGCTCCCTGAACGCCAGGCCTTGAGCATCCCGCACCCTAAGTAAGCCCAAATGCTCGAGCCCTACCCCCAAATCCCAAAGGCCCCCCTGGTTGTGACAGAGAGCCGAGGTACACCTACGAGTCCTGCTGCCAAAGCCAGGGTGCCGACCCTAAGAAGGAGCGGTTTTAGGCTTAAGGTGTTGGCTCCTCGAGCCAAGAAAGGTCTGAAACCCTCAAACCCTCGAGTCTGTACCACCTCCCCGACATCTCCAACCCCTGAGCCCCAAACCCCCCGCCCTCCCCCCAAAAAGAACAGCCCTTAAAGCCCCAGAGTGTCTAGGGGTGTCGAAACTCTAAACCCGAAACCCGTAAACTACCAGGGCCCTCCATGCTGAAGGAGGGATGCTCCAGCGCCTACTTTGACCGTTTCCGACGCCTGGTGTCCCAGTACTACCGCCATGGCCTGGCGAAGCCGACTCTTGGATGGATAGGGTTTAGGGTTTAGGGGCCTAAGGCTTGGGGCTTCGGGTTTTGGGTTTAGGGTTTAGGCTTAGGGTTTAGGGGAGCTCTTTCAATGGGGATAAGTTATCCTTATATGATCACCTCTCTCAAATATGGTTTCTTTTGGGGTCCATTTTAACGGGCGGCCCCTATTCTTTAGGGTGCCCAAAAATCGACATAGTTTAGAGAACTGACCATATGACCTTTACTCAGGAGTATGGGAGTCTGCGGGTCGGGTTGATGGGCTAGAGACGCCCTTTTGCGTTTCTCAAGGGCAGGCCCTTATCCCAAACACCTTTCAAGCACACAATATCTCTTTAACCTCCTCATCCCTAAACCCTAAACCCTAAACCCTAAACCCTAAACCCTAAACCCTAAACCCTAAACCCTAAACCCTAAACCCTAAACCCTCAACCCTCAACCCTAAACCCTAAACCCTAATCCCCCAAAACCTTGGTTTTCCTGGGTTTTTCTTGGTGAACCAAAACCTATAAACCCTGGGTTTCTATGGGTTTCCTGGCCCTTAAAACCCTAAACCCTAAACCCTAAACCCTAAACCCTAAACCCTAAACCCTAAACCCTAAACCCTAAACCCTAAACCCTAAACCCTAAACCCTAAACCCTAAACCCTAAACTCCGGCGCCCCGAGGTCGCTGATTGAGCTCTGGCCCCGCATCTTGGCCAACTTCAACGCGCGCTTCCTGCTGTGCCCCGCGGCCGCCCTCCAGGCGCAGCTGCTCCAGCTCGAGGAGCGCTGTTTCTGGGGGGGTTTGTTTAGGGTTTAGGGTTTAGGGTTTAGGGTTTAGGGTTTAGGGTTTAGGGTTTAGGGTTTAGGGTTTAGGGTTTAGGCTTTAGGGTTTGGGGTTTGGGGTTTGGGGTTTAGGGTTTAGGGTTTAGGGTTCAGGTTCAGGGTTCAGGGTTTATGAAGGGTCTTGGTGCTTTGGAGATCCCCCGCCCTATATTCGAAACCTTAAGCCCTAACCCTCACCTCAAGTTTTTCCTGTGTTTTTTTTTGGGAGGGGGGTTACCAAAGAATCCCGATCTGTCTTTTGACATCAGTTACCCCCTGCAACCTAAACCCTACATCCGAAACCCGAAACCCTCAAACCCTAAACCCTAAACCCTAAACCCTAAACCCTATACCCTAAACCCTAAACCCTAAACCCTAAACCCTAAAAACTAAACCTTAAACCCTAAACCCTAAACCCTAAACCCTCGGCGGCCTAGGAGCAAGGATGAAATCTACAGGGTCTTGAGGGATGCCACTTTCCAGATCCTTCCAGGGCCTTCCCAAAAACCCTAAACCCTCAGTCTCTGGTCCTTGTATTGCAGTTCGTTTAGGGTTTAGGGCTTAGGGTTTAGGGTTTAGGTTTAAGGTTTAGGGTTTAGGGTTGGGGTGTAGGGGTTTGGGGTTGCATGGAACGGCAAGATGGGTCTTGCAGCGAGTGCAGCGCCTTCCTTTCTGGGGAGGCGGAAGCCTACTTAGAGGCTCAGGAGACTTAGTAAGTGGGGTTAGCAGAAAAGTAAACATGGTCATAATTGCTCCTAACTCCGAGTTAAGGGACTTAGAACCCTACTTACTAAGTGCCCCGATCGTCCAAGTACTTGGAGGTTCATGGTGCTTGTTAACCCAACTACATCTGTACCTTAAAGCCCTTAAACACCCCGTTGAGATGTTGTGGGGCTTGTAAGTGGGTCATAAGTACAGACTCTACAACCTAAACCCTAAAGCCTTAAACCGGAAAGAAGCAACTTTCCGTATGAACGCCTGTTGGGTAAACCCCCAAGCCTAAACCCTAAATCCCTAAACCCTAAAACCCCCTATACCCTAAGCCTTTCCTGCATGAAGTTCTTTGGGGCTTTGATGTTATAACCCCTATATATACCTGTGGGGACCCTATACACTTAAGTAGCCCGTAAATAGCCACTAAATACCCCCTAAGGTCCCTTATAAGGCCCCTCCTTTTTTAAACTCCCTTGTGGCCTTGTGGGGTTTTGAGGCTTTCTCACCAAAACCCCAAACCCTAAACCCTAAACCATAAACCCTAAACCCTAGACCCTAAACCCCAAACCCTAAACCCTAAACCCTAAACCCTAAACCCTAAACCCTAAACCCCAAACCCTGTACCCTAAACCCTAAACCCTAAACCCTAAACCCTAAGCCCCCCCCCCCCCGCGCAAAAAGGAGAGGGCCTTCCTCGAGAAGCCTGAGGTGGTCATGGACCAACTGGTCAGCTCCGAAGCGCAATTAGGGTTTAGGGTTTAGGGTTTAGGGTTTGGGGTTTGGGGTTTAGGGTTTAGGGTTTGGGGTTGGTGTTTAGGGTTTAGGGTTTGGGGTTTAGGGTTTAGGGTTTGGGGTTTAGGGTTTAGGGTTTAGGGTTTAGGGTTTGGGGTTGGTGTTTAGGGTTTGGGGTTTGGGGTTTAGGGTTTAGGGTTTGGGGCTTAGGGTTTGGGGTTTGGGGTTTGGGGTTTAGGGTTTAGGGTTTGGGGTTTAGGGTTTGGGGTTTGGGGTTTGGGGTTTAGGGTTTGGGGTTTAGGGTTTGGGGTTTGGGGTTTAGGATTTAGGGTTTAGGGTTTGGGGTTTGGGGTTTAGGGTTTGGGGTTTGGGGTTTGGGGTTTAGGGTGGCTCCGAAGCGCAATTCTCCTCTGGTATTGTTATGGGACGGGTGGAGATTTAGGGTTTAGGGGTTTGGGGTTTAGGGTTTAGGGTTTGGGGTTTAGGGGGTTTAGGGGGTTCTGCATTCGGGACCCTTAGAGACTATTTTCCTTTGTTTTTTGGGGGGGGGGATTCAGGGTTTGGGGTTTAGGGGGTTCTGGGGTCGGGTCCCTTAGAAGGCTTTAGGGTTTGGGGATCCCTTATTTGGGGAATATGGGGCCCTTACACGCCCTCCCTTGCACGCCCTTGCTTCCTTATGATCCCCTAAACCCCAAACCCGAAACCCGAATCCCGAAACCTAAACCCTAAACCCTAAACCCTAAACCCTAAACCCTAAACCCTAAACCAACCCTAAACCCTAAACCCTAAACCCTAAACTCTAAACCCTAAACCCTAAACCCTAAACCCTAAACCCTAAACCCTAAACCCTAAACCCTAAACCCTAGACCCTAAACCTAAATCCAAAGCACGAGGCATCCAGTCAGTGATGTAATCACGATGTCGAGCTCATGCCCTCCAAAGGGCAAAGACCTAAACCCCATACTTCGAGGAGGTTCATTGCACTTCCCAACCCAAGTATAATTGTACTTACAACACACTTTTCATAAGTCCTTCAGTGCCCTAGTCTGGTCATATTGTGTTATGAGTACAGTTGACCTTCCAGTAAGCCCGAAACCCTGCACCCCAAGCCTTTAAACCCAAGAAGCTTAGAACCCTAAACCCTGAAAATCTTAAACGCCCTAAAACCTATTTCCCTAAACCCTAAACCCCTAACTCCTAAAATCCCGAATCCCCCCCCCCCCCCCCCCCCCCCCTTGTGGGCTGTGGCTCCGCTTAGGTTTTTTGGATGTTTCGGGAATTAAGAAGGGCCCTAAACTGTAAAATTGTTTAGGGGTTCGGGCTTAGGGCTTAGGGTTTAGGGCTTGCGGTTTAGGGTATAGGGTTCAGGGTTGAGAGTTGAGAATTGAACCCCGAAGCCCGAAACCCTAAGCCACGTGGCGGATTTAAGAAGAGCCCTAAACTTTAAAGTTGTTAAGGGTGCAGGGTTGAGGGTTCAGGGTTTGAGGCCCTAAACCCTAAACCCCAAACCCTAAACCCTAAACCCTAAACCCTAAACCCTAAGCCATGAGGCTATTCGCAGAACCTTCAGCACGCCTTCATGGAAGGGGGGGTCGATCCGAAGGACTTCGTGCAAGGGCCTTGCAATGGGTTTAGGGTTTGTTTAGGGTTTAGGCTTTAGGGTTCAGGGTTCAGGGTTCAGGGTTCAGGGTTTAGGGTTTAGGGTTTAGGGTTTAGGGTTCAGGGTTTAGGGTTTAGGGTTAGGGTTCGGGGAGGTTCAGGGTTCAGGGTTTAAGGTTCAGGTTTTGAAGTCATGTTCCTCAAACCTGAACCCTCAACCCTAAACCCTAAACGCTCTACCTCAACCCCTACACCCTGAGCCCTAAACCCCAAAAAAGAAAGAAGGATATGGCGGCCTGGCCGTTGGAGGAGGGCCTGGAACGCCTGCGCGGCCACGCGCGCACGAAGGCGCCAGTTGAGGGCTCTCAGAACTGTCCAAAATCAAGGCTTTAGGGTTTAGTTTAGGGTTTAGGGTTTAGGGTTTAGGGTTTAGGGTTTAGGGTTTAGGGTTTAGGGTTTAGGGTTTAGGGTTTAGAGTTCAGGGGTTTGAGGTTTAGGGTCCCAAAACCTTAACCCCCCCGAAAAAGAACTCCTCGAGCTGCCAAAAGGCCCGCCAGCGCCGCTTCAAGCGCTTTCCCGACGTGACGCTGGCGCCTGGAGCCGTGAAACCTCAGGTTTGGGGTTTAGGAGTTAGGGTTTAGGGTTTGGGTTTCAGGGTTTGGGGTTTAGGGTGTAGGGTTGGGAATGAGGCACCCTATATAATCCCTTAAAGGGTATATGGGACCCTAATTCATTCATTCCCTGCTAACCAACAGTAAGAAGTTCCCAATCCTGCCAAGCCCTACGTGTGAGGCTTCTTACTTACTCAAAGGGTAGTTGCATGGCACCCTATTTTTTTGGGGACCCCTTCTACACCCCTCATATACCCTATAAAACTCAAGACTTCAGAACCCTTTAAGAAAAGGTAAGGGACCATATTAAGGGACCATGTAACTACCCTTAGACGTGCTGGTTCTCAGTAGGGAAGTCGATCCGGCATTGACTCACGTAGCTTTGTGGTTCTTTACTGTAACTTTACATCTTTAGCCTTTTTGGGTTTCTTGGGTTTCTTAAGAAGGCAGCTAAAGAATTAAATTTATAGCTACCCTGCTAAGAGCATCCAAGGTAGAGGAGATGTAAGGTGCTGAGCTCCTGGTTTTAGTGCTCCCGGGCTTTTCTCGTTCCGGGTAAGGCTTTTTCTCTATTATTTCGCCAAGAGCCACCAAAAAATAGAAAGATACTCTTCCTCATAAGGGTGATCTGGGGATTAGGCATCTTTCATGCTTTTTTCGGGGTTCTCAAGGACACCTTAGTGTACCCGAAACCCTAGCCCTAAACCCTAAACCCCAAACCCTAAACCCCAAACCCTTAACCCTAAACCCTGTCTAGGCAGAGAATTCTGCCCCACTCCCAAGGTGCTGAGCTACTGCCGGGAAGATCTGCAGTGGATGAACGCATCTTTCAGTCGGAGAGTGATGCCTTCTGTTGACCCTTGGAGTAGCCCCGGGGTGGAACCCCCTCTTGTGCCCTTTTTTGGGGTCCAAGGCTTCCTCTTATAAACCCTAAACCCGAAACCCTAAACCCTAAACCCTAAACCCTAAACCCTAAACCCTAAACCCTAAACCCTAAACCCTAAACCCTGAAGAGAACGTGGTCGCCCCAGGACGTGGTGGTCGTGGCGAAGTGCGTGGGCGTGGACGCGGCAAGCGCGGTCCCCTTCCGGGCCCTCTGGCGGTCGGTTGAGCAGCTGGAGGTATCCTTGGCTTAGGGCTTAGGGCTTAGGGCTTAGGGCTTAGGGCTTAGGGCTTAGGGCTTAGGGCTTAGGGCTTAGGGTTTCGGGTTCAGGGTTCAGGGTTCAGGGTTTAGGGTTTAGGGTTTAGGGTTTAGGGCTCAGGGGATTTTGAGCAGCTGGAGGTCGAGGACTTACCGCTTCGCGCCGACGAGTGCTCCGCGTACCTAGGCTGCTTGTGCTGCCTTGTGAGCCAGATGTTGTTTTTTGTGTTCCATCAGAACGACCATAGTAATCATAAAAGCCGTAAAAATCAGAACGGGCATATATGTCGTTCTATTCTGTTGGGGTCTTTGGAGTGTCCATTTGGGTTCGGGGGTTTGGGTCTGCGCGTTTCCCATAGCCAGCCAAGGCCACTTATCGGAGAACTACCCTACTCGGGGTTGACCCTAAACCCTAAACCCTAAACCCTAAACCCTAAACCCTAAACCCTAAACCCTAAACCCTAAACCCTAAACCCAAAGCCCTAAACCCAAAAACCCTAAAACCCTAAACCCTACAGCAAGGCTACTTATCGGAGAACTACTACGACCTGCCCCGTCACATGGTCTTTGTGCATGCTGACATGCCGGACCACATCGGGGCCGGTCGGCCGAACATCGTGGCTGGGCTCTTCATCCGAAACCAGAAGACCGAATATCGGGGTCGGAACAAGTACTAGTAGTATTCGCTTATGGTCCCTTTATACTTATGCTGTAATACCGCGCCCCCCCCCCCCCCCCAAAAAAAAAAAAAAAAAAAAAAAAGAAAAAGAAAGTCGATTAGAATAATTAAGGCCCCAAAATTGGACCCTAGACCCCAAGCCCTATGCCCCAAGCCTTGTTTCAGGCAGGGTTTCGGCCAAACTACCCACAAACCGCCCCCAACGCCTATGGGGCTTATCTTGGATATGGCGCTTAGGGTTTAGGGTTTAGGGGTTTGGGGCTTATCTAAGAGCCGACAGGTGGATGACACGCTCCGATCCTTGTCGCATGGAGCACACGTGCCCTTTGCCCACCTGGGCAACAACCGCGTCACGATGCGCTGGAACCCAGATGTGCCTTGCTTGAAGGGTCATGGTACCTAATAACCACTTATAACTGTACTTACAACCCACTTACAAGCCCCTTAGGTGCCCTAGTATGGTTATAAGTACAGTTATAAGTACAGTTCTAGTTGGCCATATGTGCCATGACCCTCCAAGTGGTTAAGGATTGAAGGTTGAGGATTCCGCAGTCTTCAGCTTACAGCTGTGTTATGCTCCACACTACGGATTGAACCCTACCCCCCCTCCCCCCTTGAACCCCCCCCCCCCCGCCAAAACCTTGAACCCTAGACCATAAACCCTAAACCCTGAACCCTAACCCTAGACCCTAGACCCTAGACCCTAGACCCTAGACCCTAGACCCTAGACCCTAGACCCTAGACTCTAAACCCTGAACCCTAAACCCTAAACCCTAAACCCTAAACCCTAAACCCTAAACCCTAAACCCTAAACCCTAAACCCTAAACCCTAAACCCTAAACCCTAAACCCTAAACCCTAAACCCTAAACCCTAAACCCTGCACGCCTTACTAAGGTGATGACTCCACTGTGGAAGGGCCTCTTTGGGAGCAGTATCGCACCTGCAGCTGGCGAAGTGAGCACCTACTGCTGCTCCTTGGTTTAGGGTTTAGTTTAGGGTTTAGGGTTTAGGGTTTAGGGTTTCGGGTTTAGGGTTTCGGGTTTAGGGTTTTGGGTTTAGGGTTTAGGGCCTTTAAGTTAGCCTACGTACCATGGTAGGACTTCATTGACTTTATAGAAAAGGATCTAGTCTAGAAGCCTGATCGTGAAAGCTGTGGTAACTCAGTTTTTGCTCCTGAGCAAGGCTCGCACTTTGTGGTGTCTCGGGATCGGGTGTTGCAGCGCCCGAGAAGCTTCTACCAGCGGGGGTGGAAGTTCCTGACATCTCCCGAGAGCTACTTCTACCTGCCCGCCCCCTGGCTGGTGACGCGCCAGCATCGCGCCGCTGAAAGCGACATGCAGGGCAGGCTGGTCTGCCAGAATATGCCGCTTGGCACGGTTCGGCCTTAGGATCCTAGTCCCTGAACCAAAAAATCCTAAACCCTGAGCCCTAAGCCTTCCAAGAAGCCCTAAAGCCCTCAAACCCTAACACAACGCCCTACACAGCTCAGGATGCCCAATGCCCAACACAACTTAGGATGTTCCTTTGGCACATCATCTTCGGTGAGCCTCTCGCGCAGCCGCATCGCATGTACGACCCGAGCCTGCCGCTGTTTCTGAAGACTCGTAATATTCGGACCGCGTATATGGACGATGAGGGTGGCGGCGTGTGACAGAAAAGTCGTACTGTACTATCCCAAGTATAACCATATTTGGGCACTTAAGGGGCCTACAAGCGGGGTATAAGTCAAGATATACTGGGTTTTGGAGTACTATACTTTAAAATACTTTTGTTGGTTTTGGGTTCCGGCTCACAGTCAAGTTTCAAAGGATTGAGACTCGTACCCCTAAGGTTGTTTCCCTAAAGCTTCTCCCTCATAGACTCCTGATATGGCCCTTATACTGCCTTAAGGATCTTAAGAAAGGGTCCTCAGAATGCAAGGGTTCCAAGGTACAACCCCTGGAAAGTTGAAGCTGGCTGGATGTGTTGCGCTGCTGCTTCCACAGCCTGTGAAACAGCACACCTAAACCCTGCCACTGAAAGATGCCAACCCACCCTCCCCCCACCGCCCTTAGCAATAAAACATGGGCAATGAAAAGATTCCAAACCCTAAGCCCCAAACCTCAAGACCCCGAACCCTGTTCTAAACCCTAAAGGCCTGCGTCCCTGACCTAAGCCCTGAACCCAAAGCTCTGTAGGGCTTCACAGAGTTTAGGGGTTAGGGTTAGGGTTTAGGAGAAGCTTAGTCTGAGGTAGGATTTAGGCTGTCTGGGTTTTATTCAGCCAGATTACTCCGCTTCGGTGGTTTTTTTCAACTGGAGTCATAGCTACAGATCTAAGCAGGCTTTGCGTAGCTACTAGGCAGGCACCCAAAATGCCCTAAGCCCTACACCCCGAAGCTCCCAAAAGACACTTGAGTAAAAACATAAGCTGTGCATAGAGCTCAGGGTTTGGACATTATAAACCCCTTAAAGCCGTTCGCAACCCCCTCTGAGGCCCTCAACAAATGACAGTGTAGGGTCGACGGATTCAGGATCCTAAGCCCCTCAAGCCCCTAAACCCAAACCCCTGCAGCCCCTAAAAGCACACAACCCACTAAAGCCCCTGAATCCTAAGCCAAACCCTAAACCCTAAACCCTAAACCCTAAACCCTAAACCCTAAACCCTAAACCCTAAACCCTAAACCCTAAACCCTAAACCCTAAACGCTAAACCCTAAACGCTAAACCCTAAACCCTAAACCCTAAACCCTAAACCCGAAACCCTAAACCCTAAACCCTAAACCCTAAACCCCCTCAACCCTATAAACCTTAAACCGTAAACCCTAAAAATCTTCCCTCCGAGGCACCAACCGCAGCAGCGCTGAAGCATCGCGTCGCCTGCGTCACCTGTCGCTCCAGGCCCGCTTTTCTGTTAGGATTTAGGATTTTGGGTTTAGGGTTTGTTTTTTTCGTTTAGGACGGTTAGGTTTCGGAGTTTAGGGTTTTAGGGTGTTTTTTGGTAGGGCTTAGAGCGTTTAGGGGTGTTCAGGGCGTTCAGGGCGTCTAGCGCAGTTTAGGGATGGCGTTTGGGGGCAGTGTGGGGTGAAGCTTGACAGCTCCGACCCCAGAACCTCTAAAGCCCAAGGCCTAAAGCCACACATCCTCAACCCTAACCCGTAAAGAAGCCTTAACGTCCCTAAGCCATAAGCCCCTAACCCCGAAAGCCCCTAAAGCCCCAAAGCCCAAGTATCCCTAAACCCTAAACCCCACGTATCCCTAAACCCTAAACCCCAGGTATCCCTCAACCCTAAACCCTAAACTTTTTAACCCTAAACCCGAAACCCGAAACCCGAAACCCTAAACCCTAAACCCTAAACCCTAAACCCTAAACCCTAAACCCTAACCCTAAACCCTAAACTCACTCTTCCAGGCTGGATCCTTTGGTTGCCAGCCTGGAGACTTCCAATACGTCCTCCTCGTCCTCCTCCTCGGGGAAAGTGTCCGAGGACCCTGCGTCGTAGGACCACAAGGGGTTTTAGGGCCTAGGGGGGTTTAGGGTTTAGGGTTTTAGGGTTTTAGGGTTTTAGGGTTTTAGGGTTTTAGGGTTTTAGGGTTTTAGGGTTTTAGGGTTTTAGGGTTTTAGGGTCTTAGGGTCTTAGGGTTTTAGGGTCTTAGGGTTTTAGGGTCTTAGGGTCTTAGGGTTTCAGGGTTTTAGGGCTTTAGGGTTTTAAGGTCTTAGGGGTTTTAGGGTTTTAGGGTTTTAGGGTTTTAGTGTTTTAGGGTTTTAGGGTTTTAGGGTTTTAGGGTTTTAGGGTTTTAGGGTTTTAGGGTTTTAGGGTTTTAGGGTTTTAGGGTTTTAGGGTTTTAGGGTTTTAGGGTTTTAGGGTTTAGGGTCTAGGGGGGGTTTGAAGGGTTTTCCGAGGGTGTTTGTTTGGGTTAGGGTTGAGGGTCTTTGGCTTTTCCACCAAGACCACGAGGATTCCAAAGGTGTTTTTGAGAAGATGCCTTAAATGACATTGGGACCAACGAGCCCTAAACCCTACATCCTAAACCCTCACTGCACCCTAGTTTCGGGCTTCGGGCGTGGTGTTGGATTAAGGGCGTAGTTAGGATTCAGGGATTGGGGCTTTGCTAGCGGCACTTTCGGAGTTTCTTTGTTTGGGGCAGGTGCCCCAAGCTTTCAGATTCAGCTCCAGCCAAATGGCCCTCCCGAACCCTTAGACCCTTAGACCCTTAAACCCTTAAACCCTTAAACCCTTAAACCCTTAAACCCTTAAACCCTTAAACCCTTAAACCCTTAAACCCTTAAACCCTTAAACCCTTAAACCCTTGAACCCTTGAACCCTTGAACCCTTAAACCCTTAAACCCTTGAACCCTTAAACCCTTAAACTCCTGCACATGGTAGCCCTAAACCCTAAACCCTAAACCCTAAACCCTAAACCCTAAACCCTAAACCCTAAACCCTAAACCCTAAACCCTAAACCCTAAACCCTAAACCCTAAACCCTAAACCCTAAACCCTAAACCCTAATGTTTTTTTAGCAGGGTTTAGGTTTCTAGGAGGCGCCCGAGTAGCTCTGAAAAAATTCTAACTGTACTTCTCAGCCCCCGAAAGTATCCTGGCCGTCATCCCGGAGCCCTCAACCCTAAACCCTAAACCCTAAACCCTAAACCCTAAACCCTAAAACCTAAACCCTGTTCTTCATGGGGTTCCCCTACGACCCCCCCTCTATACTACCCCCCCCCCCCCCCCCCAAGGTTCCCCCCCTTAAATAACCTTAGTTAAGCTTAATTATCCCTAAATAGCCTGAACTATGGGGAGGGGGAACCTGGGGAGGGTGGTATAGAGGGGGGGGTAGTAGGGGAAACCATGAGTTCTGGCTATCATGTTAAGTACAGAAGATCGTTGCTTTGTGGTACTTTACTGCAACTTTTTGATCCTTGGCCTTTTTGGGTTTACTTGGGTTTCTGAATAAGGCAGCTAGAAACTTAATTTATAGCTACCCTACTAAGTGCAGCCAAATTTTTGGGTTGTTCCATGAAACCTCCAAGTAAGCGTCCACCCTCAGCATCTCTATGGTGTGTGACCAGCGGGATCGCGTGGGATCTGGATGAGCCCACGACCACGGCCAGCGAAGACTGGAGGCACTGGGTGATCCTGACCGCGGGCGCCAAGATCAACTTCGACGACCGCTTGCGTCGAGAGAAGAAGAGGACTCCGGAAGTGGTCAACAACCAGCGGAACCAGGAGCTCAAGGAAGCTCTCTTTCGCCAACAGCTAGCACAGCAGGTCGCCGCTTCTTTTCCGCCGCCACCGCCGGTGCCACCGCCAGGCCCACCTTTTGGAGAAGGTCCCAGAGCACCAGCAGCTGCAAATGCAGCCCAGGGCAGCCAAGGACCTGCCCCACCACCGGCAGCAACCGCGACTGGACCAGAGCAGCCGCCAGCAGCTGTTGATGCGGATGGGACAGAAGACGAAGAGGAGGAAGATCCTTGGGAAGACTGGCAGTGGTGGTACCGGGGACACCAGGCGGGTGGGCAATCCACAAGGGCTCCTGCTTGGCACCAGGACTACATCGATGCTGGCTGGAGCCAAGATCCAGGCAACCCGCATATATGGTGGAAGCAGCAACGGGACGGCCGCTGGCAGCCGTCTGCGTGGGCCCCGCACCG